TCCATGAATACATGAGTCCATGAGTCCATGAGTCCATGAATCCATGAGTCCATGAGTCCATGAGTCCATGAATCCATGAGTCCATGAGTCCATGAGTCCATGAATCCATGAATCCATGAGCCCATGAGTACATGAGTCCATGAATACATGAGTCCATGAGTCCATGAGTCCATGAATAAATGAATCCATGAGTCCATGAGTACATGAATACATGAATAAATGAATCCATGAGTCCATGAGTCCATGAATCCATGAGTCCATGAGTCCATGAGTACATGAGTCCATGAATACATGAGTCCATGAGTCCATGAGTCCATGAATAAATGAATCCATGAGTCCATGAGTCCATGAATACATGAGTCCATGAGTCCATGAGTCCATGAATCCATGAGTCCATAAGCCCATGAATCCATGAGTCCGTGAGTCCATGAATACATGAGTCCATGAGTCCATGAGTCCATGAATAAATGAATCCATGAGTCCATGAGTACATGAATACATGAATAAATGAATCCATGAGTCCATGAGTCCATGAATCCATGAATAAATGAATCCATGAGTCCATAAGCCCATGAATCCATGAGTCCATGAGTACATGAGTCCATGAGTCCATGAATCCATGAGTCCATGAATACATGAGTCCATGAATACATGAGTCCATGAATAAATGAATCCATGAGTCCATAAGCCCATGAATCCATGAGTCCGTGAGTCCATGAATACATGAGTCCATGAGTCCATAAGCCCATGAATCCATGAGTCCATGAGTCCATGAGTCCATGAATCCATGAGTCCATGAATACATGAATCCATCAGTCCATGAATCCATGAGCCCATGAGTCCATGAGTCCATGAATAAATGAATCCATGAGTCCATGAGTACATGAATCCATGAGTCCATGAGTCCATGAATAAATGAATCCATGAGTCCATGAGTACATGAATCCATCAGTCCATGAATCCATGAGCCCATGAGTCCATGAGTCCATGAATAAATGAATCCATGAGTCCATGAGTCCATGAATACATGAGTCCATGAGTCCATGAGTCCATGAGTCCATGAGTCCATGAGTCCATGAGCCCATGAGTCCATGAATACATGAATCCATGAGTCCATGAATCCATGAATAAATGAATCCATGAGTCCATGAGTCCATGAATCCATGAATAAA